GTACTCCCAAGAACAGTTTAGCGTCTCCCAAAGGTCACCCATAAGTTGTAGTCTCATCGGAATTATTAGTTCGCACAAATGCCACATCCGCCATAGCTTAAATGGGAATCCGAACTTTTGCTTGTCGTGTGTCTGTTCGACTGTGTGGTGAATTTAGACTCCGTAAGATCTAGAATATACTCATTGGTATTACAATTAAGAATCGAAATTGTAACAGACTCACCTAGTTTCTTGTACCGTATTCGTTCATTGTGAGTGGCTTGCATATGAACCATAGACTTATTGACCTGTTTTAGTTGACTTTTCATTGATTGTAGAAATGGAGTTCTTTCACGAAGATTTTTTGTTCGAGGTAATTCATCATTGTTTCTTTTGTGTACGGTCAAGCAATTCTACACTACTTTTCTCTCTAGGCCTTTCAAGTTTGCAGCAGTATTAAAATTGACTTTTGTTTTCAAGGTTTTGAAATTTCTTGCTCACACGTAAGAATGAGGGAATTTTAGAGTTGTGTGAAATTTTTCTCACTTCCATTCCGTAGTTAGCAAGTTATCAAACACTTCATTAGAAACAATTCCAGTGATAAGTGAGGGAAGCTGACCCTAAAACATTCTAAAACTTTCCAGACCTAGCGTAGATGATCCACACTCAGTGATGAGAAATTCACAATTAAAGATTTACCATTTCTAATTAATAAACTACAACACCCAGGAATAGAAAGCTTATTACCAGTAAAACTAGATATTGAAACTTTGGAAGGTATAATTATAGCATTAGGATTTGATGACTCCAACTTCTCAACTGAAATGATAAACTTGATACTGCCAGTGTCAACAGTAAAATCGTAGAAGGCATTACTGGACAGATGTAATCAATTTTGAATATGAAATGATTTACTGAAAGTTGTAAATAAGAATAGCAGTTGACTATTAGAATCATTCGAATTAATAGGATCAGAATTATAAATTTTAGTTGACTTCAAGAAAGACGAACATTAACTTTGCAAACTGACTGTGTGTGTCTAATTTTACCACATTCATCATTACGAAATAAACATGAATTATGTGAGTGAAACTTATCACACGACAAACGTTTACCAAACTTGTGCTCACCCTTATGATCTGCTCCTCAATTCCTAGGTAAGTTATTTTCTTCACGAGCTTGGGTACGAATAGGATTGAGATAACTAATTAAGGTAGTAGAATTCATGATTTTCTGGGAGTCAGTTTCGTTCACTCCTTTAAACGCAGTTCTAGCATCTTGAAAAGAACACTTCGGCATCTGCATGAGCTCTCCAGATTTGGTATGGTAATCCCTGCGAATAATCGATCACGCACTTTCACATGAAGTTGGTCACTGAAATTACACTTGTTAGCTTGATTCTGAAATTCAAAGACAAACTCTCACATCCTTTGATGATTCTGAAGAATCATTTTATGAAATTTTGCTCTTTCACGGCATTCAGAACTAATAGACTTTTCAAGACCTAATAGTAGTTCTTTGAGAGTTTCATAAGGAAGTGGAATAGGTTTATCTGGGAATGCCAAACGTTTTTGTAAGCTGTAGAATCCTTACTGATGAATGTAAAAAATTAGCCACAATTTTATTATCCACAACATCTTTCCTAGTTATATACCAGATTTAAAACCTATCCATATAATCTTCGAAAGCCTTGGAATTCGAACGTATATCCAAATGTCCAATCACGGGTTCCCTTGATAATTAGAAATAATGCAATTGGTGTACTAAATAGGAACTTCCAACACATTGCAATCTACAGCAGGTAGAACTAGATGAGCACAAATGAGCGTATTATATTTAGGATTCGTAATCAGCGAGGAATCAACTACAAAGATATAATTAGTTCGTATAAATACCACAATACTATAACTGAGAAGATTTAGGCGTAAAATTTACCACTTAGGAAAGGTCGAAAGTAGTGAACACGGGAAGACATTTTGTGGGGTTTGGCTCGGCCACACTGAGACGGTCACTGTATATAACTTCTTCCCTTTCATTGTAAATATGTCAATATAGACAACAATGTGACTTCTATTCAAGATCTTATTCATTAAGTAGTCACATCATAGAAAATCTACAGTTTCGCGATTAAGTTTGAAGATACCACAGGTATTTGGAGTTTCATAACTCTTTAACTAATAACACCTTCTACTATGAATCATACTCAACAAGTGAAATCAAAACTCAGAAGCAAGGACGTTCGAAGATATATTTGATAGGACATCAGTATACTGAGGATTGACTGATCTAGACTGGCTAGCCATTGCAGGGGATGTTTAGCACGGTGATCTGGTGCAAATGCTTGACCGAGTGCCTTCAGCTAGGTGGGTCCATTAAAAATAATTTAGTCAGCATCCAATGGCAAAGACTTATCTCTACAGATCACTCTCCCCCTAGTGGAGTAGTGATGACCCTAAGACGTGGCCAGCAGGAAGCTTAGACCCAACGAGTTTGTCGTTGGTAAACACTCTTCTGATAGCTTGCTATGTTTATCAGCGTCTGGTCGTCTTCCCTTACTATAAGGGACCATGTAGTACAATATAGTAGTAAAGAAACAAGGTACAGTGAAAATTTCGGTTCGTCGTAAAATTTCGTCGTTCTTTATCGTCTTTCCAGTCGTCCTGGAAAAGAAGAAAAGGAAATGTAAGTGCGTGTCGAATTATACTCGTACATGCGTAAAGACACAAAGCGGGTGAAAAAAGGAAAATAAACCCATGCACATGCGATAGCATATAAACGATTTCTACATCAGTTGACTGCAGTCAAGTGGAAACAGGTTTAACTGAACGCATTGCGTTTGTAAGCCTGTTCATATAGGAGGTTAGATCCATATTCAGTGAATAAGATGAAGGATCCAGGAATTCTCCTGGAAGTCTAGGTGTAATTACATGGACGAGTCGAGCTGCAGTGTATCCAATGTCAGCTTTCATTGCATTGCGAATACCTAGTAAGACGAGTGGAAGAGCGTCGGTCCACTGTGAAGCGTGTGCAGCTGATAGTGGAGCTTGTAACAGCTTAAGTTGGTTGGGTTGTCGGTGAAAGAGTTCTACTAACCCGTTTGCTTGTGGGTGGTAGACGGTCATTCAGAATCGTGTGATTCCCAAAAGTTTAGTCAGACAACAGAAAACTCCAGATTCGAGCTGGCGTACACGGTCTGTAGTGATAGTTTATCTATCTTATGACAAGAACAAATGCGCTCAATACCGATGCAATCAATTATTCTATAAACATATCATATGTTCCTTAAGAAACGTACAAAAAACCACGTTCAGGAATCTAATTATTTCCACTGCATATCAGTAGTTTTGGTTTATGTAGCTCGTGGACTGTTTTGTTACAAATATCATTATTTTCATTTGTGTCAGCATCTAGTTTCCATTCAATTAATGTGAATATTCGTATTGAGATTATATTGTGAAATTCACATATTTAATTTTCTTGTTTATCAAACTATAATGTTATAAACAACACACTGAACTGTTTTTCAGTAACGTGAAGTTTTCCTCCTGTGAGTTCATTCAGACATTTTTTGTTTGAATAATCTATTAATAGATCTCAGTTAACTCAATCTCGAATGAAAAGAGAACGAGGGATGTGTGGGAAGCAGTGTATTTGTCAACCACCAACGATATGTCACGCTGTGTAGTATCACAACGGAAAAAAGTGTTCAAGGTCATTGGCTAAAACAAAACGTACAGTCATTTAATGATAAAGGTACATACAGTGAAAAACTGACAAAACAAATACAAATAATATTAAAAACTATTTACAAAATATGCTTGTCAGTCATATCACCACAACATATATATATATATATATATATGTATCTTCAACATAAAAAATCCATCCTATGTATGTGCAAAACCATGAATTGGTCATAAGCCCATTTACTCCACTGTGGTCTATAAAAACATGCTCGCACACAACTATGTTTAATCTTTGCATTACACTGGCACTACAGACATGTTCTCTTAATGACAAAGTACTGCCTGAATCATTTTCTGATATTTATTATTCTGTGATACTCATAAACAATAGACGATTCACCATACTTTGTTCTCACACTCTTGAGTTATTGGTGCTAGCATTTTACTGTATTATACTCTCACATTCACTATGAGTACGTGTTCTTTTTTATGCGCATGTTGGCTCGCCTATGGTCACATGGATGTTCAACACATATACATAAACCGTACATTTCGTTGTTCTCCTGAAAAGACGATATTACGGCTCCGTAAGTTCGTCTCTCCGCTACCATTATGCCGCAGATAAAATAGTGTTTTTAGGATAACTTCTCAGACTCGTTTTATCTTCATTATGTTCATATGACTCATACATATTGATATTTGGTTACCCTTCTCACCTCATTGTGACTTTCATAGCATCACTCCAAACTATGATGGCACAAACACTTATTCTAGCGTCACATCTTAATGCAATAATGAGTTGTGTTTTCTCAGTTATTTTCTATTTTGTTCTTGTTACTAATTTGACGATATATACATAGCCGTTTATCCTTGTTCTGTGTTCATAAACACTCCTATTAAACTATTTGCTCATTTCACGTCCCTTTTCACCGTTCCCTTACTTTCTCCATTTCCTTTAAACTCAATTTAATATCCTTCACAATCACACAGAACCTGATTTATTATTATTCTATTATTATTACTCGCTTTTTGAATCATAGCACATATAATGCTGACATTATTGAAACCTGTGTATTATTGCACTTTTGAAGAAACCCGAAATAGTTACTTCACAACACCTATGTACCCATAAGATGTTTGTGAAAAATAATAGAACGTCAAACATGTCTAGTACATCTTTCTCGTGTAATTTATCGTTAAATACGCACACACATGCATCATTTATCCTAGCTTTCAAACAGACTCCAAAATCTCAGAGAGTATGTACTGTTGAGTCAATTTTATCTTCATAATAGCTTTATTCTTTCTTTCCACAGGAAACTGTGACTTTTGACATACATGGGGAAAAATATTCATCTTCCTGTAATTTTAAGACTGTGGACGTTGTGTGTCCTTGTGTGTCTGTACACTAATTGTTATGTCTAGTACCTGTTTCCTCGTCACATTACGTGCCATCCTTTTTTATGCCAAAATAACGCTTGCAGTGAGCTGCATTTCGAATAGGCAGCTTTGCTTTCTCTGCTTCACTTCTCATCTTAATGTCCATATGAGTGAATCAATGCCTGGCTTTCCTTTCCGCCGTCGCCCAAATGTGTTTTTGTTATCAGTACACGTGAAGTTAAACAGAGACTTCATCTTCATGGTGTATTCTTTGTCTGTTCACTTGATCGTCAAACGGAGTCAGACATCAGGCCCATGGAGATCTCACTACTTCAAGTTCCAAGCAAACGGAATAGATAGGTTAAAATGTTTTACCGGATCATTCTTTGTTAGTAGGCCTCTTTACTTAATTCCGCCACAGTTTTGGGTAGTTTTACTTATCCACATGTTTGCTTTCAGGAAAATGTATTACGTACATTGGAAATAAAACTTAGAAAGATTCATAAAATTGTTGTGAACAGAAAGAATATGTTCGCAAGTCTAAAGAACCAATACTGAGTATTCTTCAAAACATGGGGGTAGAGTTTTATATTATTGCATGAATAAGAGATTTCTTTAATAAGAATTCTCAATAAATCTTGTCACTAAGCATCTCAACACTCTAAAGATCTAAGAGCTGCGGTTGCTGTCCCTGAAGTTTAAGTGGCAGAAAATTCAGTTATTGTTTTAGGGTACAGTTGTTTTTTCCGGTCGGTAGCTCGCTTGAACTCTATAAGCGGTTGCTTTAAAACTGCTAAGTTTGGCGGGTTTCCCTGCTTTCATTAGATTGTCTAGTCACAATACATGTTTAGGTACTTGATCTGATTTTCTTTGGCCACATAACGCTTTCATGTGCATGGAGTGGACGTGTTCTGAGGCTCATTTAAGTCGTTTTGTTTGTCTTATATTTTCAGGCTAAAACTGTTACTTGGCTGACCTAATTTGTTATGTTCTTACTAACAAATCTGTTTCCTCTTTGGATTCGTCTGACAAATTTATATTCCAGACATTTTAACTGTCCGAATATCGTTTTCTAGCCCATTATGTTCTTCAACTTCCTCGGCTTTTTGATTTTCTCTAATTGCATCGTTCTGGGTCACTCTTTGTATTCAGTAGCATTTGAGTGTGGCAAACCGGCCATTTATTTGAACAATGAGTTTTGGGTGACGGATTTTACTCAGGATTGCCTTGAGGATGAATTGTCGATCTTGAATTATTGTAAGAAAGTATACAGAGAAAGGAACATAACCGCAGTCGTCGCCTCTCCTCCTATTGACGTGGTACTGTCAGGTTGGTGTGAGTTCGAACATAGAAAACTTGCAAAGTGTCAAAAAGTCGATGGTGAACGACATGAGATTAGGCCATTTATATGCCTTGGTATGTTTCAAATGTTACTATTAAAAAATTGGTTCTGTAGATAATATCCCGATGTCCAAATTGTTTACTCCTGTTGGTTGTCAGTTAAGCAGCCTTGATAATGATCGGAGTTACGTCTGTGAAAACTACAAGTTCTGGGAGAATTCCACCCGAGAAGCTTGCCTGAGACGCAACATGCGATTTCAGAACTATCTACCATTCAAACCTTGTATCAGAGAAAAGGACTTTGGTTCTATGTATTTTGCGGCTGCTAAAGTAGTGTGTTGTGAAAATCTTGACTCTGAATTTACAAGTAAGTGTTTTTTGCATGTGGTCTATTGGAATGTGTACAGATTGAATTAAATTATCTTCACTTGATCACTAGACTGATAATACATGAGTCGTCGTTCGATATACATTATTCTGCTTTACATAAAGGAACTGTTTCGTGCTTATCTCAGCTTCAAGCCTTGTTGATCCTATTTTCACGCAATAACATATTTTCAACATAAAGTACCACCAAAATAGTTTTCTTAAAATGTAAAAATAATCCCGTTTTTAAACACTATACAGACGCTTCTAAACCACAGCATTTCGTTGATCGGGGATAGTTTATGCTACCTGTAGGACTGTTAGACTAAAGGCTTTGTTTTCCTTCAGTTCAATCATTTCTCCTCTGGAATATCGTTTATATTATTGTTTCATGCAGTTCATTTAGCTTAATCTTCCTGTACTATTTCCTTATTGCAATCTTTCTTTTATATATTACCACCTCTGAATTAACTACTTTTATGAATCCGGTGTCCATCTTGTTGTGTTAATGAGGTATGGCAACTTGGACCGATGCATATATGTGCCTGGTCCTACGTTGTGGCTGACTGACTGACTGATTTAGCTTAATAGTAACAGAACTACGATTATTTCATTGCTATTGATTCGTTGGCTGTACGCTCTTACTTAGATGTCAAGTTAGCGTAAATGCTTGATGTTTCTTTGCAAACCAAGCCAATTAATTGCCATGTTATCATTTTATCTCGCAGGTAAATTGGAATTCATTTTACTATCTTAACGAATTAGCAGTCCATCCTCTTCATAGAATTGCTCCATACTCTGGCCGCCTAATTTTTAGTAGCTTAGTGTTTATGACTTTTGACTTTTATTCGCAAGGTTGAAAACCCGAGTCCACCGCACTTCGGTTTGGCCAGCCTGGTAGTATCATTAACCTTCACAGAGCGTGTCTCAACATCAAGCATATGATTTTTTTTTAAATTTAGCACTGATTCATATTCTTAGCTTCAAATCGTACTATAAGTGTAAGGAGTGGTGACACTACCTAGTTCCCTAACCTAAATTGCATGGAGCAAGGCTCGAACTTGTCATTCATCAAACTGCTGTTAGTCCTATCTCGAGTATCCAGAAATTAGCTCCCTATTTTAGGGGTCTGTACGCTGTAAATCTTCTTACTAGCACAGCATCGGTTCTTATTTAATAGATTTTTTACTTTTTGAAATCCTCACTTAATAAGTGGCTCTTTTACCAAAGTGTAGACATAGTATCGATGTACAAGTAAAATCGTTTCCGCCTACAACCAGTGTTTTGATGATAATACATATCTCACTTAATTTTGCTGTTAAGATTAAATTTTGTTCAAAATGTTGAATACCAAAGCTAGCTCGTGAAGAATCTACGTTGTCGCACTTATATATATATGATTAGTTTTATCTATTGGATGTTGATTTTAGATTCTGCTGTCGTTATGAAACCACTTACCAACCTTGGAAACAAGACCAGTTCAATGTCCCATAAACTCAATCGCTTGGGTAATAAATTAACTTCCACCGAGAATGATGCCTGGGATAGTGACAAAACTGTCACTTATTATTTGTCATCCACGAAACAAAATTCTTCTTCTGGTTTATTAATACCTGAGCGTGAACGTTATAGTCAAGCTAAATTAGCATTGAGTAATGACTTACACAAACGGGAAAAAGTGCTAGAGCAAGAATTTTCAAATGAAGAATCACTGATTTCACCTGAAGACTGGCTGAACGAACCAGTTAAAAGTCAGCTCGAGGAGGACAGTTTAGTTCAAGTGAGCAACAAAGTTGTTTCTTTAGTTCAACCCTAATTTTTCACTGTCTTGTGTTGTTAAGTTGTTCGTTTTAACTTCATACTTCTTTGTTTCGTGTCGATTTGTACCATAATTTGCTACAGCAATTTTCTGTTATTATTGCTCTTGTTTTTTCGTTCTAAAATCTATTGCGTTTTTTCATATGACTAGTCTCGGAAAACTGTGACTTATTGATTACTATAGGTAACCCTCATTAAATGGGTCATCAGTTTAAACTGGTTTTATTTAAGTTGGATAAAGGAGTCTAATTAACAGCCTTCACACGGCTTTTGTGATTCAGTACACTATCTGTAAGCAGTGGTTCTTTGTCAAATGTAAACACGGGATTTTTATGTTTAGCAATTTTTCCTGTGGACTGTATAATAATAAATAATAATTATATTGGCGTGGTGTATCTATGATGCTTTCAACGGGTGTTTCCCAATAATTACGACATCATTATCTATCCTTATATCTTGTTTATTTTCTTTCCGAGCCTAGTCTTGTAGCTATTTATCATTTTTACTAGTGACCAATTGATTGAGTCTCTGTCGTAACACAGAACCTGGCTTGAATGCTTATCAGTCGGAGTTGCTACACTTTACATTGGGATAGTGCAAGAGAAAATTAACAAGTTCAGAAGAACGGGAAGGGAAATAGTATCAATGTTAATAGAAAATTACGAAGATAAACATAGTTCAATCGAAACTAATAAAACTGAAGAATGAGAAATTTGAGATTACACCAAACTTGTTATTCAGAGGATGATAGCAAATAAGTTCAGCCACTCCACTGAGATCACTCTTAAGTCGTATCGTGGGTTATATCCTAATTTGCTTGCTGATTCCTTAGTGACTTAAGTTCCAAACCTCCTGAAATTCCATGGTCCAGTTTTTGCACCTGCCCAATATTTCAACGCCTCAGTCGACCTCGTGTTAACAGTTATTTATGCACTGATCTAAGCAACTCCGTCTCGCTGTGCTGTTGTGGTGTGGCAACTTAAGCCGGGTTTTTCACAGCTTATGACTTACTCAGGTGATATATGTTCATACACAAAGATGGTGACCATGTTGTCTGGTGTAACGTTTCTTCCAGTTGCTGCAGCTTGTTTTATAAATCATATTTGTTCTGTCCTTGATGTGGATTATATGGTATGGGTTGGATTATGAGCTTGTGGCTGCACTTGTTTTTGAATTTCTCAACATCGTTGAAATGTTTTACATGTATGGTAAGAGTACCTGTTTTCTGGTTCCTAGTGTTAATTTCTTACTCCATTGTGGGTCGGATGAATATTCTTTGATCAGTTTGAAGGAACCAGGAAATAGGTAATGTAATACTACTTTCAAAATACTTCGAGGATAACAGCTATATTGTTGAGTTCTTTTAAAACAGCTATATCTGAACTATTTCTGGTACTTTTATTTCAAGGGCTTTTCGAAAAATTCTTCATATTCACTTATTTATTTTATTTAGTCTAATTGTTCTTCCACACATAAATACAACAAATATTCACGTCACTTCGATTAGTCTCATAATGAAACAGTATTAGGAAAATTAACGAAGGAAAAGTTTTATTACATCTGTTTTTTTCTTTACAATTACTTAATTACAATATAAAGCTATCAAAGGATATGAAAAAATTACTTTACAAATTCACTGCCGAAATATTAAACTGGATTAAGCAACTTTTATATGTTAAAATTTATTGACTGAAAATTGTACTTTTTTTTAGAAAGTCTTTTGAGAATATGATATAAATACCTTCATTCATTAACTCTTTGTGAGTTATTAAACTGTGCTAAGCATTTTGAATGGTTATTTTGATACCGTTTGTTAATTTTCGTAAGGAGTTTCGGAGTAAATTTATTAAATTGGAAAATCAGTCGGAACGAGATCGGGAGACTTTGGAAACAATTCATCATCAGCGAATTGAAGCTCAAATGCTTGAACGCAGAAATGCAATGCAGAATGCATGGGAAAAGGCTATGAATATTAAAAATCCAAATGTGAGTTTCCACACAGAAGTAATTTTGTTTTTATTGTTTTACATTGTACTACATAAAATGTTTACTCGTATCATATAACTAATTTTTATTAGTCATGGATGAATTTGGTTGAAATCTGAGCTATATTATCAATGTATTATCATTACTATCAAAGTATTATTATTACTACTATTATTAAAGTAACCCGTTGTATAATTGAATAAAGATGATTCAGCGAAGAAAACTTTATTTTCGACTAAATCACTTACTTAAGCTGTACATTGGTATTTATGGTTGTTTGATAAAATATCAGTCTATAAATAGATAGGAGAGATCATAAAGTGATTTGGTATTTCGAATATCGAGATTCGGTTTCATAAACAAAGGGTTATGGGAATTATTTACGGGCTAAAAATATGAGATAATTGTCGACTTGATAGATATGAAGAAAAACGAGCAACAGAAATGTCATAAAAACAGTTGAATAATAATCATGAAAAATTGTTAGAGGATAATAGGGCTTGATTACCGTCTGATAAATACAAAATGACAATAATATGTTTTATTGTGATGAATTAACTCACCAAGTGCAGATCTGTGTGTTTGGTTTCTAAACACTATATATTAGGGCTAGTGATACTATCGGGAGCGGGTGGAACGGGGCTCCAACCTGTGACTGCGTAGATACAAGCTTAATGCTTTAATCAGTGAATCGCCGTCGACTTGATCACTGCGATCACATAGATATTGGTCTTGCTGTCAAGAACGTTTTGGTAAAAGAAATAGTTTATTTGCTCCCTCTTAGGTAAATCTAACGTTTTCAAAGCTGTGCTCACTAAATCGTATGCTAATCAAGTTCCCAAAAAATAATGAAAAATTCATGAATTAATTTTTCCTACTCTTCCCTCAGCATATCCTCTAAAATACAGTTTAATCACAGATAGCGTTACAATTTGTTAAGAAAATAAATCAGTGGTCTTGTTTTTACCAGGCATATTTTAATTTTCACATGTCTTACTTGATTTGTTGACCGAGTAGTTATGAAAAATGTGATCAGGAATTGTTATATACGTATATTTCCGAATCCAAATGATTTTGTATAATAGTGTTTTTATGCTTACTACTTTCGTAGTTGTTATCTAAAAACAAAGAATCAATTTACTGAGTGTAAAGTATGCCTTATTTTGCCTATTTTCAATACCACTGACTCTCAGAATTTCACACTGTTTGAAACGCTAAAGCGTTTATTCCAAGTTGTTGAACATGACCGCAGTCACTATGTTAAACGATTCGAACATTTACGCAATATGGAGCTACCTGAAGCTGCTCAACAATTAGCATCTATTAAGGACAGATTGGTTGAACTTGATATTTTGCTTAATAAAAGTTTGGAAAAAATAAATCTGGTAAGTATTTTCACTAATACAACTTTATTGTTCTAGTCGTCAAACGAATGTTTGACTCCTCTTCTAAATTTTAATGTTATAAGTGATATAAATTTATGCATCTTAAGTCTTTTTATTAGTTGCAGTTATTTGATAGTTCGAGGTATTTAAATTCCATTGGCATAGTAATTAATCTCGACATCGTTTACTGTCGTGTAATATATTCGCAAACTTAATCCCTGTCAATCTAAAACAATACAAGTGTGGCCATAAAAATCAAATAAAAGAGATAAGATGCAGAGTTGTACTAACTACATATTATTATCAGTGCCTAGTTTGTAATGATAGGGAATGAAATGATCATCGGTGTTGATCGGTTCATTGATATAGTAGCATTTCCTATCAGTTGATGAAATTTTGCGATGTATACTAACAGCTCGTTAGGTTCTTACTGATTTACGCTACCTGAGTCACAGACTATATCCATCTAATTATCGGAAAGCCGTCATACTGTGCGAAATTTCAATTTGTATTCTTTCATCTCTCCGAACCTGTCTTATTTATTTTAGATCTTTTTTCTACTATCATGGATAATACCTTGGGTTTCATCTTGTTAAACTTATCTTACTGTGCTGAAGTAGTGTGGCAACCATAGCTTTTACACATTAGTGCCATGTCCTACGTCGTGAATGACTGAGTGTGTGACGTTATCTATGGAACCAGAAGGCACGTGGTCATTAATGTATTTATAAGGTTGCTCATTCGTTATGGAGTCAACAATTGGGTAGTGATGGCGTAATTGTAGAATTATAGGTAGAAATGCTGGGTTTATTGGTCAGCCCGAGTTGGTTGGGCAGGTGTAACAAATCTCCCAACCAGCTTTCACTTCGATTTTCTGTCCTAGCGTTCATAAAAGTAGATGAAAAAACTAATGATGGCCAAGTAGACTCAATGGTATGAATTAATTGAGTAGTGATCTTAATCTTATGAAAATAAGTAAATTTCCCAGTAAGAGCCCTTGCAAATTCCAATTAGTCTTCGGATCTATATTTGTGTTCCAGAATAACCGTGGGGAGTAGGAGTATAAAGGATCACCATATTAAATATATCGTAAATTGGAGCTAGGATTCTACTGCTAGCTACATTCTATTTACTATATATATATATATATATATATATATATATATATATATATATATATATATATATATATATATATATATATATATACTGTTCTCTATATTTATTTCTTGTATCGATAGTTCTAACCTCTTTTTTTGTATACCGACATTGTAGCATCCAGAACTAAACTCATCTTTGTTAACTTATGCAAATTATCTTCGAAATAACAAATATCGCAAATTGGAAGCTCCGTCAAAAGCTGTTTTATTCGCCGATATTACCTTACCAGATATGATTAAACTGCCTACATTTCAAGAACAGGCATCATTAAAAGCTGAAAAGATTATAGCCAAACATCGTCATCATCTAGAACCGTTATATTTAGACAAGCTGACGACCAACAAATCGAACAAAAGTTGGATTAAGCCACCTAAGAGACAAAAAATGTTGAAAGATCATGTTTTTGGAGGCAACCAAAATAAAAGTAAACTATTGAAATTATCAAGAATATATTTATACTATCATTTTAAAATTTATCGTTTCTTCTAAAATATTAATAATATGCGAAATATCTATTCGTCTATAATTTTGTATTAATTTTTAGATATTTCGTTTCCTATTTATTTGTTATCTTATTAAGTATTTCGATTTCTGTGAAACAAATCACTGATATGTGATCTTTGGTATTAGATGATTTCATCTCTTTTGGGAGATGAGGTACACAGTACTTGTGTTGACTGAACAATTGTGATTGACATTCTGAACAGTCTCCTATCTAGATGTTATTCTAAGCCTGTTTAATATGATTTGATTATATAACAATGTGTGACTGTAAAAGAACTGGATGACCATTTATCTATATTACAAAATATTCTATCCGTGTAATTTGTTATAATACTTAACTAACAAATTCAGAGCTTGATTCAATTATCTTTCGTCTTCAGTCAGTCAGTCAGTAACAACGTAGAACTTCGTACGTGTGCACATCAGTTCGAGTTGCCACACCACATTAGCACAGAGATGCAGTGGTCGATTCAAATCCCGTAGTGGTAGAGGTAATAAGAGTATAAGCAGTAATCGCGAAAATTAGTGTTTGGAGATGTTATTTAAATAGTATAATACAGTGAAATAAATTTGGGAAGAGAAAAAAAGAGACAAGGAGGAATAGGGTGATCAAAATTTGGGAGAACACAAAGAGTGTATGCACCTGCGCCATTGCAAACGATTTTGAGCCATGTCATTCAGGGTCTCTAACCATCGGTTGCTATCATCTCGTGGTCCCCAACCAGGTAGTCTACACCTATCAACATGGCTCAGTCCACTTGTCAGTGACTTTATGGACTTGTGTCATGTTTCGGTCTGGCCGCTTCCAGCTTTCTTCCAACCTACTCCTATACCACTGAACATCGCACTTCGAGGCAGTCGGTCGCTGGGCATACGTAACACGTGTCCCAGCCATCTGAACTGGTGGAGTTTCACTACGTCATTAATTGATTTGCCATCCTTACCTAGTACCCGTTTCCTAACAACTGCATTACTTACTCGATGGTCCCAGGATATACGAGCAATATTTCGAAGACATCTATGATCAAATACTAGTAACCTACGGATATCCTCTACTCTTACCGGCCATGTTAGTCGTGATTCAATTGTAAAGTTTCTTGGATTGACTGTCGTTGGAGCCAACAGGTTCCCATTTTCTTCACCAATCATCATTCTTCCTAAAAGCATGTTCACATTTAGTGACATTGTGTAAGTAATGTAGTGGCGTTACTTTTGTTTGTACATGATTAAGTAAATCTTAGTACCCGTGCAACTGTGCAAATTGTAGCTGGTCAGGTCTTGTACGTGTTTGTTCATTTTATTTGTTACATCCCTCATTATACCTCATTGAATGGATTGGTAGATAGTTTACCTATTGACTGAATAATTACTTCAGACGATTAAGATCCAGGTATCCATTTTGAGATGAATTATAGACGTTTTCAGTGTTTATTATTAATATGAAGTCAAAATTTAAAAAAACTCTACTGACGTACTTTTTTATCCTTATTTTCTCATGATTTATTTATTTAAGACTTTTCTAATTCTCATCAAATGAAAACAACTACAATTATTCCAACAGTTTACAACTTAGTCGATATTGATGCGAAGTCATTGTTAAGCACTGTGGATTATTCTTCATCTCTGTCAATAAATCAAAATCAACGTACACCTCATATGAATAGTAGTGAAATAACAGAAAATAAAACAACTGTTCAATTTGGTTCATATCAGAATATAAGTGTTGCTATGGTATGTGTTGGATGCCTTGGACTTACTTTGTATGATTAGTAATAATGTGGATATACGTGTTTTTTTCTAGATTGTTGCATTCTTTCAGCTAGATGGTTTAATTGTTGAGCGTTAACAGCTGATAATGTCCAGAGCGACAACATAAGCTTCCTAATCAAACCGTCTAGCATAGAGAACACAGCACAACCGAAGCCATCTACCTCTGGTATAAATAGTCTTTAGAGTTTCAACTACGTCTGTCAATTATATATTTCGGTTAAAACAAAATTATGTAGAAGCTCTATATATTTAACTTTTCTTAATAAGTTTCCTTCAAAGCATGTAACGAAAGATTGGCCTCTTCTGTCAACATCTAATAACTGAGTTTACACAGGATGTCTTAGAATAAATCCTAGAAGTTATTACCATCAACCTTATTGTAATACATTTGTGTGACACTATCATGAATCATTCTAGTTATGTTTTCGAGAAAACTAGCACCATGTGAAATTCGAAGTGTAAAAATGGTCAGCTTATTCTGCAACTGCTGAATTTTCAATTCATTTACTACTGAAATTGAGTTAATCTTACTTTTAAATTACAGAAATAAAGGATTCATTCACTTGTAATAAGTGTTATAACCGATAAACTAACTATTTATACCTAACAGTAACCACTATAAAAATAAAAGGTCATTGAAAATTCAACCCAAAATTATTAATATACAATATTATACTAATGTGTAGACTGGGATACTGACATCCAAACCAAAAGAAATGATTTTTCTGCTCAATCACTCTCTAGGCCTTCTACCAAAAGGTTTAATCTAGAAGACAATCAAACACTTTCAAAATAGTTTATCCTTCTTTGCCTTGGTCATATGTAAGCATTTTGAGGAGAAGAAGAAGAAGTAGAGTAAACTCTTATCTTCGATCGTACACGTCATTCAGCAGGGACAATTACTAGTTAGCATATAGTTATTTATATACTGTGGTTGTTTTAAGATTTCATTCAATATAAATGTAAATTTTATCATGATTTATTATTTCTAAACATTTTATCACTTATTTTTATTCCATTTTACTTCTAGTTACATTCTGATCGAGTACTTAATACATCCAATTCATCTACTGTTATTAATTTATCAACTCAAATACATGTTCATAAAACAACTTATATTTTATTAATTCTTCTAGGAATAGTTTTATGCTTTATTTGTTTATTTATTGTTTTACGTCGTTATTTTGCTTCAATTCGATATAATCGTAAAGGTTATACATTAACTGTTGTAGAAGTTGATGAAGTAATAGCACCAAAAGTCAATTCACCACAATTTTTACCAGTTAAACATAATCGTCTTAGAAATACTTCAAAATCAATAACAAATCATCATCATCATAACGATTTAATACATAATTGGCAATTGAATGGTTATGAAAATCCTGCCTACAAATTCAATTCAAATAAAACGGATAGATTTAATAATACAAATCGTTATCATCATCTTGGATTATTTCATCAAGATAATAGTTTTGATGATTTCGAAATTTAATAAGAAAAATTTCAATTCTATTTGTCTTCAGTCAATTTACTGAGAACAGAAAGTATTAGACATTTTTTGTTGTTGTTTGTTATTAACCTACTTACTTATTACATCTAATCTGTTTTTAAACTATCTAATATTTTAAAAAGATTATTGTATATGTATCATTAGTACTGTTTATCCATATACATACTAAATCATAATGGCCTTCTTATATTAGTGAATAATAGATTTTTTGGTTGTCCTTATGGTATCCATTAATATCATGTCTCTCATATTCATTCGTGTTTATTGTACACGTAAGGCATCTATTCAAGCCATCTTTTTTTTAATAAGTATAGGCATACCTACTCATACATGCGAATAATGTATTTTTTATTGTTGTTGTGTGCAATATTTAATGGCTTTATCATTATGATCTTGTTTGTCAATGCTTTTCTTTTGTTTAAATTTGCTTATTTCTTTCGTGTACATGAACAAGACGGTTATTTTTCTTTTCTTCTTTTTCATTTAGAGCTTTTAATCATTAATTTATATTTATCCATTTATTTCATTTGTAATATAGTTCCGTTTTTTTTAAAGAAAAAAAGTTGCATATGTGTTTATATTCACTTCTGTGCTTATGCTTCACTTTTGCATATTTTAAAAAAAAAATGGAATTTTTAACTATGGTTTAATGTCTTTAAGCCTCCAAATCGTTGAGTTGTTGTAGGTTCAAATCTAATGTATCTACTAGAACTTTGACATGTCATACAACATCATGATCGACGTACTATATTCAACGTATGACTTGAATCTTAATACATAGAAACTGGTATTTAGTTATTGAAGTGAGTTAGTGATAATCAGTTGTTTTCGCTTTAAAGCTAAACAATAGTATATATATATATATATATATATATATATATGATAGGCTTATTTGAGCCAGGGTCCTTGATAACTGGTACTTCAGCAAATCTTTTGTTGTTCCATATAGAGGTACGTTCGTCGCTCTTTGCAATTGTATTTATCCAATTGTTATTGAAACAACTTACGCTTATATTCTGCTATCAGTGTTACTTTCGCTTTTCTGCTTCAATTGGATTAAGTGAAAAATACAAATTTTTTAAAATAATTTAATCAACATAGAGACAAGTTTAATTATTTTGCCATTGGATAGTCGACATTTCCTCTATTTACTTCCCGTGGGTTTCATCCAAATTTTCGCACAAACAAGTAACATATTATTTAGTCAGGTGTCTTCATAGTGTGAGGATTTCGTTCGTAGTTATTATCTGAAAACGTCTAGTTAGTTTACTTAAATGCTTATTGACTTGAAAATGTCAGTTGCCATCACAACACCGGTGACTTGTTATTTTTGAGTGAATCCTACCAAGTTGATCAAATCTGGACATCATTGACTGCTCATCAAGTTTGATTTGAAAAAGGAAATTTCACCTTATGACCTTCCCGAACAGTTACAAAACGCAACAATAAGTAAAATTGAAGGTATCTAGTCGACTAGTCTCGAAGCATTCTGGTACATACACTAGCTATTAACAATGAAACATTATCACATCCCATAAGTGTTATGAAAATCGTTGATTAACTAAACTTTATAAAATTGTTCGAATGGTTCAACACCTATCTTTAGTAGGTAACGTTTATTTGTTAATACCCATATTTATTGATCCACAACATTTACAGAATAGTCAACCATTCAAAATACTCTTTTCTGAGAATACAAATAAACTTTATACAGAGATAAGAAGCGAAAAAAATATTTTCCACAAAATATGATTGATTAAATGATTTATTAAAAAGAATTAATGATTTATTTCCTTGATTGGGTGAAGTGGATTATTGAGAATTTCTCATATATTTTATAGTTTTTTAATGAAATGAAATTTTAACTATTTTTTAAATGAGTCCATATACTCATTAATGTATTTTCCGATAACCATATGTAGGCGTATATTAAAATAATTATGAAATGAATAAAAGAAATTGCGGCGAATTGAAAACAAGATTAGAAACTATCAAAATGTATTTAACTAATCAATAAGATTCAGAGTGTAAAATATCATGTCATTTTAAAGCATATTGTACAAGTTAATAAAATAAAAGTTTTTCTACCATTTGAGATTTTCTAAGATCTTAGAAATAAAAATTAAATAAAGCCGCAGGTTTTGATTTTAGCTCTGATCAGCTTTTAGGTTGCAGTTCACTCTTAAACCAAAATGATATTCATTGTTATCATATATTTCAGTGTAGAAGTTTTCAACTACTATCATAAGTACTGTGGTGTGGGTTACTTATATCCACACAAGTAGTATATAATGGTGGTCAGGCATAGAATGTATTTCAGTAGGTCGATGAGGAAAGAACTGGGACGGAACGCAATTGGTATGAAAGTGTATGAACAATCAAATCTGAGATGATGGATTGATGTTTGCAAAAAGAACAGTCAAGTTTGAGACAATAGATTGATATTTTGCAAATTAAGGATTTACTATATGGTTCTCAGATTTCATTGAGATGTGTTTGTAATTTCGTATGGAATACATTCGATTGTCCCACTCGTGTTCTTGTTCACTACAGTACTACAACTCAATTATACTTGAAGAACTTTCAAGTTATTCACGTTTTGTTAGGTGAACAATGTAGAATTGTTTTAACCTAATATATAATTTGAATTCCTATAGTTTTTTCAGATTACAAAACTTACGATATAAAGCAATAGTGTTGAGTGATTAGCTACTTGAAGTAGGCAGAACGTTATCAGACAGTAACAGAAATGTTCATATCTAACAAAGTTATTTTGTTTCACTAGATAAATTAGTGTTATGTAAAATAAAATGTTGACTTATAGAATGACTAAATGTTATGAATTTTCAGTGTTTATAGGAACTGTAACGGTAGTTTATCACTGGATAGTACATCATTAATTAACTGCTAGTCAAAGGACTACAATGTTAACAAGTGTTTGTGTTTTCTTATTCCGTTCATTGGACATGTTTCCCGCCCTTAAAAACAATGGAGTAGTATTCAGTCTCTCTCTCTCTCTCTCTCTCTCTCTCTCTCTCTATATATATATATATATATATATATATATATATATATCGCTCAGGCAATGATTTTCAGTCTTGGTTTGTTATAATTGCACAAGTTTATTCGGTACATAGATTTCTACAGTATTTTCTAATATTAAAAACTGAAGATATATAGTCACATTACCTTCTACGATAAAAAATTCATAGACAGATTTAACTATTTCTGTGCACAAAACTATGGAAACATAGGCAATCAGATGTTATTATTAAATCATAAGGAAATGAAGTTACATCTTTTAAAATTGTAATCATTACAGTTGGTCTATAGACATTTGTCTTTTTTCTACCAATTTCATTGATTTCTACCTGTAGTTTTATTAGTTTCCTGTCAAGTAAAATTGATAATGAGAGATGCCATTTTAACAGACAATTTTTTTAATGGTTTGTTATATCCCAGTAAAGATTAAATTACGGGTAACTTCCGAGGATTATTAATGGACTAATATTCTATAAATATTCTTATTGTATAATTATTCAATAGTTAGATTATGTATATTTATATCCCTCTTATTATAAGCTTCATTTTGACCTATAATTTATTATTATACGATTTACTGTCTCTAAATTATGCTCATTACTGCCTCCCACGTCCACAGCCACTTTTGGGCTTTATTGTGTACAAATATTATTTCCTATTCTACGGTGCGTTGCGGTCTGTCTGGTTGATATATAAACACAGTATGTTTGAAATATATGATTCGCATATTGGAAGCTGGTATTTGGTGTTCTGGACTCAAGTGGACGGGCTAGGAGGACATAGGACCAATAAGGACGCTAGGCTGCTCATACCGGTCGAACGTCATTGGTTTGGCACAGTGCGAAGATTGCATGGGTTGTACTTTGATTGGTGGATAAATCACGTGATAAAAAGCCGGATATAAAGTCATAACATAGTTGAGATCATGAATCAATTGAAGCTAGACCACCATGGAATCACTGGACGGTCTCAGGTTTTCCATGGTGGTCTAGCTTCAATTGATTCATGATCCCAACTATTAAAATTCCTATAAAATCCAAAAAATCCCTAACATAGACATATACAGACATTTTCCTGAAACAAATTATCCAGTATGTTATAATTTTAAGTTCTCAGAATGATTATAGTTTTTCTTTTTGGTTTGATACAATTAGTGAAATGTCTAACTTCTATTACACGGAGATTTTGGATATCAGTCAATTACAGAATTGTAGATTTTACGTATGTTATAACTTCTTGTATCTAAAAATTAGTTTTCAAATCAATAAATCAAAAGATTCACTGTCTGATCTAGATGTTTTAATTTCTTATCTTCCCACTGAACTTAGCACATGAATCTATCATTACAGGTCGAGTACATGATTCTCTGCTGAATAACTTTTGTTAGATAGAAATTTAATTTTATTTCATATAGATCTGTGAGAAACTGTTTTTCATTTAGTAAGCAATGATGGATAGTGGCTAGCAGTGGGATCCATGACGCGCGTTCCGTCCTATCTGGGACTCGTCAGCTGGATGTACCTGCATCTGAGTTGATGTTCACTCTGGGACTCGAACCCAGTACCGTTCGCTTCAAACGCCATCGCGTTATCCACTCAGCTACTGAGTCCTGACAGCCACTTGCTTGTGCAATGGGGTGAAGTTTAAATTCACTTTGTGTTGTTTTGCTTGTATCTTCCCATTGTTATTTAGAACTGCAATTGATCAGTCTGTTATTGGCAGTCTTAAACCTCAATGGAAAGATACAAGCCAAACAATACCAAGTGTTTTTCTTTTAGTTTATGTTCCTATTGATTGAAATGTGAAATATTGCTACCATTTTCTTTTTTTTAAAGAGAATATGTATTATTACATTTGATTAATCAATATACAGCACTTCCTAAAATACCTTCTATGAATATAATTTTGATGTAAATTAAAAATTTTTAAATCTCTCTTCAATTGTTATTATAAGTATCAGTTTAGGGGTTGTGGAGATTGTTAGGTTTTTGATTGAGATCATGAACCGATTGATGTTAAACCACCATTGAAAACCTGGAAGAACTGGACGGCTGTTTCGAACTACTGTGGGACTCCTCGGCAGTGCGCATCCACGATCCCGCTCGCGGGCTTCGAACCCAGGGCCTTCAGTTTCGCGTGCGGACGCTCAACCTACTGGACCACTGAGCCGGCATCCAATGGTTTTAATGTCTAACCTCAACCAATCCACGAAGTTGCGCGACCATCTTCTATTGTACTGAGGTAGACACCTGTTTCTACCCGACACGGATTAGCTGTTTGATCACTAAACTTCATTTTCCTTCGTACTGAATAGCTTGAATGAATCATAAATATCTAAAGATATTACCGAAATTCTTTTAAAACTTAATTCGATTTCACAAAAGTGTCATTCATTTAGGAATAAAACCAACTCTCACATTTTCTTGTAAATTCTTTTTTATCCCACCTATTATGGTATGAGCTAATTATATCCATACAAGTAGCATATAACGATAATCAGGAGTAGAATATATTTCAGTAGAAGATCGAGAAGGAAAAAACGGGAATGGAAAGCCAATTGCATAAAAATGCAGAAACAATGAAATCTGAGACGATGGATTGATGTTTGCAAAAGGAACAATCAAGTTTGAGACAATGGATTGATATTTTGCAAATTAATTATTTACTGTATTGTTCTTAGATTTTAATAAGACGTTCTGTAATTTTGTGTTCAGATGCATTCGATTGTCCTACTCGTGTTCTTGTTCACTACAGTACCATGTGACTTAAGTGATACAATAGAGAGTTAGATTGTGTATGTTTGATAAGATTGCTTGTTTATTATTATTATTATTATTATTATTATTATTATTATTATTCTGTACTGCTTGTCGGTGAAGTATGAGACAAAATTAACTATTTTAATTATTTTCAAATTACTTATAAAATGATACTAATTACATTATATGTTATTAATCTATTTGATCTCGTGAATAGATTAAATACAAATGAGTTGATTAAACAGGATGAAATGAGATGTCATAAATTTTATAATTAACTATGGAAAATTGCAAAT